CATTGTCAGGAGCAAAATGTTGCATTCCAAGTCATATTTATCAAAAAGTTCATTATCTAGCCCCAAGGAGAACCCCTGAAACAGACGTCAGATTCATACGATGCAACTGGGAAAGTGGTAATAAAAGAGGTCCATCGTGTAATACGGTGGGCGAGGGCACGGGGTTTGTGGGAGGCAGGGGGAGTACATTTCCACTGGAGGGAGTTCAAGGGTTAAGAAAAAGTTCAATTTACAGCCTGGCCACTCACACAACTACCTACACAGGTGTTTCACTAGCTCCAAGTGGTTGCAGCTGGACAAAGATTGCCCCTGTTTACTAGTTTTGAGAGTCCAAGGGCTGAAAACACCAGGTAACTCCCTCTCTGAAGGGAAACGCAGTGGAAAGGCGTGGATGCGTCAATAAAAATCTAATGTCATTACTGGGTATGTGGCTCTAGTGTAGACATTCCAACCGGTGAGTGAATGCAGGAAAACACTGTGGTTCATGGGACACCACTTTTGAGATTCACAGCAGAGTGGCTGCAAACTGCTGAGCTGCTTGGCATCTCAGCGATGATCAAAACACTTAAAAATTGGCAGGTCTGGCCTAAAAATTGACATTTCCAGCTTCTCTTGAGAAAGCAGACAATGTAGTAATATGGTACCCACAGCCTAGGGTCAAGGAAGGAACAGTGCCTTTTCAGATGGGCATCTGTTCTGTCTTGACTCTCCAGAGGCCAGCCTCACCCCATCAAAAACTGCACCCTGGCCTCTGGGGACATGTGAGTTTGCAACCACTGATTAAGCTGAAATCCCCAGGAAAACTGAGGAGGAAGTGGCTTTCAGCTTCTGTAATTGTCTGCATCCTCCGCTTCTCCATCCTCTCCATTCCCCGCCCCACCCAGCCTCCCTCCTTGCACCGGGCTGTCAAAAGTTTCCCAGTAGATGGGCCCACCCACACTGGCCCCTAGACAAGGTCCTGGACTCCACTCTTTTCCCTAACCCCTCTGTCTCCATCAAAACTTTTCTGGACCTCTCATCCCATTCCTTTCTGTTTTGGTTTTGCGTTGGGTTGTTTTGGCCAGGAGACTGCTAGAAATCTGATAAACTCATCAGTGAGGATGGACTAGGGTACCTTCCCAGACAACATGTCTGAAATGGATTCCACAGATTTTCTAAATATATGCCGTGCCGTCACCCTAAAGAACTTAACCTACACCTTGTCACCAGCTAGCCATCAGATTTCTAAGTTAGCACATCTAGTCCTGTGTATTTCTATGTGTAATATCTGCAGTTTACACACAAGTAACATGGCCATAAGAAGGAAACATAACTTGAATGTATTCTGAGGCGGTGGCCAATTCAGATTCACTCAGATATGTCTGTACATCTAAGTCACAAATGCCTTATGAATCATAATTTCTAGCTCCAAAGTACAAGGCAGAACTACACACAAGGGTTTCAGTCCATTAGACAGTACAAACTGCTCATGGCCACAAAAGCAGAACTTCTTTTGTGGATGATGATAAAGCCAGATTCTACAAAGGAAATCTTAGTTCGGTATTACTATTAGTTAAAGTCAAAGGAGATGGTTGTCCCCTTCTAACCAATGTACAATAAATTATAAAGACATGCAGAGATTTTGGGGTTTTTTTCCCAGTTCTTCAAATCTCCTAAGAAAAAAAGAAACAAATTGCTACTGCCTGATAGTGTTCTTGGTTTTCCAAAGATGAAAAGTGTCCCAAAGTGTTTTCAAGAGGACAATATGAGGTGAACTGTAAGCATGAGTGAGAAAATGGCAATCTTCCTTATGAATCACAATTGAGTGAGTCTTGGTAGGGCCTTAGGTACAGGTGGAGAGCCCTCCTAATGTGCAATCAAATTTCCTAAGATCTCTCTCTCTCTCACTCACATACACACCCAGAAAGAGAGAGAAACCCACAGTATAGGTGCCAAGAGCCTGATGAATTATATTCTTCATGCTAACACTCAACCACACCCACTGGAGGCAGTGCCCTTCTCTTCCTGTTCCAAGCAGCTGAAGGATGCAGCTGGGCAGACTCAGACAGACATGAAACACAAAGTGACGCCTCGTTTGGCTTGAAAGGGGTCTTCTATAGGTAGTAAATCCTATAACTGAGGATTCTGACGATTTAAGGTGCCAATGCTCTGTTCTAAGGCAACTTCATGTATCTACCACACAGACTTCATTTCTCAGAAATGCTTCACTTAGTTTTTGCCAAATTACTCTAGATTCAGTAGATGGAGAGGGGCTATCTCCTATTTCAGGACAGCGAGGTCAGGGAATCGTGGCCCCAGCAACCATACCTGATGTACTGATAGTCTCTGGGCAGCCCACAATATGGCCATCTGTGCTGCTGGCAGGGAACCCATCAACAGGTAAGTCACACCCTGTCCTTCCACAGACATCCTGCACACTCTGAAAACAACTCTCTTCCTTAGAACATGCCTCTCCTGCACCCACTTCACCAACTACCACTTCAACAGCACTGGCCCGAGTTGAGCGTCCAGTTTCCGAAGTCTCCAGAAAACGCATCTTACATTACTTTTTAGTCTGTCCGAGCATGAAAAATGAGTCAACTAAAGGAAAGTTAATTTTCTCAAGGTATCACTCAAGCATTTAAATTCAGGAGGATTCTTTCAGCTCTTCACATAAAACATTGATTTTTTTTTTAAGAAATATTGAACCATGGAAAATACTAACGGCAATTCTAAAGTACTCAGACTCACATTGCTTACGTTCAAGCAGCCAATTAGGCAGTGGCCCAATTAAACAGCTTCACCCAAACACACAGTGTAAATAAGTGGTTCTTTACGGGGGCTCCAAAAATAAGGTGGGGTGTTGTGACTTCTTATAGCCTAAAACTGAAAGGGAAAATTTACTTGCAGATAAAGTGTCCTCTTAGGTAGAGGCAAAGGTGACAATTTTAGACCACGTGAAAAGAAAAAAAGCTTTGATCAAGAGTGCCCTTTTAAAGGTGTTTGTTTGTATGGTTGGTTGGGGTTTTTTTTTTATCATTCTTTCGCGTAAACACAGCGCTAGGTCAAGGGCTGCTTTTGAGCTTCGCGTGTAGGATGCGATGGGCCTTCGCTACGTTTCCCTCAGGCTGGTCCTGCGGGATTTGAGATTTTTAAATTCGTGCTGCACCGGTCACCACTTTTACAGCCACTAAAAAACAACAAAAACAATCCAGAAGAGGACCAGTTCATCCACCTAAACCGGATTATCTGAAAAGAAGCAAGTGTGGAAACTATGAAGCCTTGCAGCAGAACTTTTTCCCCCCTCTGATGGACTGCCAATCTCTTCAAAACAGTCCTTGCTTTTGTGCTTCGTCAAGAGAAGTGCACCACCCCAAAGCCCAAGGGATGCGGCTAAGGTTATTGGGGGCGGGGAGGACGGGGTAGAGGAAAAGTCAGAGGCGAGTTGGAGAAAGAGCCAGCCACTGGCAGAGATTCCCAAAGTGCCACAGGAACAAGAACGAAAAACTCGACTTCCTCCCGTGCGAACGGTTCGCTGTACGCCCGAAAAGTGCCAGCCCCCTCGCGCCTGGGAAAGGGCGGGGAGCGGGGGTGGGGGGTATGTTTACTCGACCTCTTAGGCGCAGAGACCCT